CCTGGCTCGCCCTGGGTGCGCGAATGCTGTCCACGTGTTTAGCGCATCGTTCCACCCATTTTCACAGATAGACCGATGCCCCGGCCTACCCTTTGCGATCTGCTCCGCGAAGCGATGTCCAAACTGTTGCTGCACATGTCAACAAAGCGTCCAGAACGACCACACCAGTAGTTCTGACAGGGATGTCCGGGTGAGCAGGTTAGACCAGCCCACGCCGTCCCGACAAAGGCGCTTATTCTGAACATCGTATCTCCACCGAGTCTCCACCCTGGGAGGCGCCGGGAACAGTTCATCGTTCGCGGCGGCGAGTACTGTGGCCAAAGCGGCACTCGGATTGGTCCTTCAAAAGAATACAACATGAAATCCGTATGCGACACATCAAAAAGGCAGACCCTATCTGGATCAAAGATCCTCGGTCTAGATTTGCTCTTTTCACGGGGCCTACAACATGTCTCGATCTGACGCTAGAGTACGATTTCCACACCTTCTGTTCTCCACTAGCAGCAACGTGTCTGTTGGGGCCGGTCGGGCTGGCATGCTTGCAGAATATAGGCAATTTCTTGGCACGAGCACGTAATGACAGCTTGGGTCCGCCCTGGGACCAGGCCGTCTATGATGCATCTCGGGTCGCCGGAGTCTTGACGGATCATGCAAAATCCGGAATGCATGCACTCTTGTTCCTGAGCGTCCCCCTTCTACTAACAGTCCTTAACAGGGATTCATCATAGGGGGTACCATAATCCCTATTAAGGACCGCTAGAAAAATGGGGCAGAACAGGAACCTCAAACACGGTGTACGAGCACCTCCAAGTCTTCTCGCGCTTTCTGCAAAGCCTCCTGACGAGCGATCTCGAAGTCTTCCTTCATAGTCTTCAGCCTTAGCCAGGAGACTTGTTTAGGGTTTAGGGTTTAGGGTTTGGGGTTTAGGGTTCAGGGTTTAGGGCTTTATGCCACATGCGAGCTCTCGAAAAAAACGACTGGCGTGCGACATTGACTAGCCTACATGAAACATATCCCAACATTCCTTCTGTGGGTTGAAGCTCGTTTGGCTCCTCGGGTCCAGGGCTAACCCTAAACCCTAAACCCTAAACCCTAAACCTTAAACCCTAAACCCTAGACCCTAAATGCCCTAAACCCTAAACCCTAAACCCTAAACGCCCTAAACGCCCTAAACCCTAAACCACAGATGTCCACAGTTTGGATGTTCAGAGGCTCTGGCTGCTCGTCAAGGTCGAGACGTGCCTGAAGCCCAGCCTCCAGCACCTCAAGCCCCAAACAGGTTTAGGGTTTAGGGTTTAGGGTTTAGGGTTTAGGGTTTAGGGTTTAGGGTTTAGGGTTTAGGGTTTAGGGTTTAGGGTTTAGGGTTTAGGGTTTAGGGTTTAGGGTTTAGGGTTTAGGGTTTATATAGGGTGTAGCGCAACACCCAGCAAGGGCCGCGAGCAAGGTGGTAACACGCCCTTACATGAGCTTGTGCGCTAACGCTGTTTTGCACATGCTGCTCTTGGGCATCCCCAGAGCCTGCCGCGAAATCATCTGGTCGGCCTTGAACCATGATGAAACAAGCAATCACAAGTGCAGAGAAATGGGCGGTGAGTCATTAGCAGCAGGAAGCAGTTCTTGAAAGCAAAAAAAACATTCTGCAGGTGCAGGGACTTTGGCTTCAGGTCGAAATGCAAATCAGGCGTTCCTTGACCAACCAGCCCTTCCCCATGACCATCAGGGTGGTGGTTCTACACTGTCAGCTTACCTCACGCAGCCAGGTGGAACGCGCCAATATACCCCGCATGGAAATGCCAAGATGGGGCGCACACTTCTGCTTCAGCCGCCAGGAGCTTCATCTCAGCTTCTGCTGCTTCCTTTTGGGCCACCTGATATTTGTGTCATGAATCCGTGGTCTCCATGCAGGCATGGGAGTGTCAACTACGCTCATGTACTCAAAACGTCAGCTTGTCACAGCCGACTTGTCATGCACATGATGTACTTAAGTCCGTGCATGAACATCGATGCTTGAGGTTCATGGTACTTGTAAACCAATCAGAACTGATTAATCCGTACCATGAACCAAGTGCATTGAGGTTCATGGTACTTATAAAACCCTAAACCCTAAACCCTAAACCCTAAAACCCTAAGACCCTTTTTGCAGCTGGGACTCTTTGAACCCTAAAACCCTAAAACCCTAAATCCAAAACCCATTATAACTGATTAACATGTACCCTGAACCGCCGAGTGCAGCATCCGCCTGAACCTCGGCCTGGGCCTCTTCGACCGCCTGCGCGGCCGCGGCACTGGCATCCTGCAGGTCCAGGGCTCTCAATGGAGGTTTAGGGTTTAGGGTTTAGGGTTTAGGGTTTAGGGTTTAGGGTTTAGGGTTTAGGGTTTAGGGTTTAGGGTTTAGGGTTTAGGGCTTAGGGTTTAGGGTTTAGGGTTTAGGGCTTAGGGCTTAGGGTTTAGGGTTGTGCCAATCTGGCCTCGGTGAACCTCTGAGTCACAGGAGGCACATGAGCCACTTGTCAGCATGGCAAACCGCTTTGCAAAGTTCACGAGCATGCGCAATGGCGAAGCTTCGTCTATCCAACGCTGGGACCAAACAAAGGGGTACGACTCAACCTGATAAAAACAAAACAACTTCTTCAAGACCGGCTCTTAGCTACCTTGCCCATGACTGGAACAAAGCTCTCCACAACTCACATGGGGCTTTACGAAAATGGGGAACCCCCAATATACATCCCCAAATCGTAAGGAGTCCAAAAAAGGCACCCCCCCTAATCCCGGAAACCCCCACCCTAAACCCTAAACCCTAAACCCTAAACCCTAAACCCTAAACCCTAAACCCTAAACCCTAAACCCTAAACCCTAAACCCTAAACCCTAAACCCTAAACCCTAAACCCAATTACATCTGCGGGGCATGCCGTCGAAGCAACCCTGGGCGAGCCACTTCTGCCGACTCTTTGCTCTCCTCAGAGGCCTCTGCGGAAACTTCCTGGGGCAAGAAACTTCTTCGCTCATGTCAAGCCGGTTTAGGGTTTAGGGTTTAGGGTTTAGGGTTTAGGGTTTAGGGTTTAGGGTTTAGGGTTTAGGGTTTAGGGTTTAGGGTTTTTTTTGCCACCCGCTTAGCTGACCTCTCGGACACTCTGCAGGGAAATTGGCTATATCAGTCTGATTGGGTGCAGGGGTCCTCGTCTCAGTTCAGCAGGCAGTCAACACACAACCAACTGTTCTGGTTTAGGGTTTAGGGTTTAGGGTTTAGGGTGTAGGGTTTAGGGTTTAAGGGTTAAGGGTTAAGGGTTAAGGGTTAAGGGTTAAGGGTTTAGGGTTTAGGGTTTAGGGTTTAGGGTTTAGGGTTTAGGGTTTAGGGTTTAGGGTTTAGGGTTTAGGGTTTTTTTTGCCACCCGCTTAGCTGACCTCTCGGACACTCTGCAGGGAATAGGCGGTTTAGGGTTTAGGGTTTAGGGTTTAGGGTTTAGGGTTTAGGGTTTAGGGTTTAGGGTTTAGGGTTTAGGGTTTAGGGTTTAGGGTTTAGGGTTTAGGGTTTAGGGTTTAGGGCTTCAAGCCCCCCAAGTCGGGCCATAAGAAGACCACCTCCGCCGAACTCACCCGCCTTTGGGGCTAACGCAAACAAGATTCAACAGGGTTTAGGGTTTAGGGTTTAGGGTTTAGGGTTTAGGGTTTGGGGTTTAAGGTTTAGGGTTTAGGGCTTTTTTTGGGGTTTAGGGTTTAGGGTTTGGGGTTTTGGGTTTTGGGTTTTGGGCTTAGGGTTTAGGGTTTAGGGTCTAGGGTTTAGGGTTTAGGGTGGGAGTACGAGTGACGTGAAGAAGGCCCTAAGACTTTTGCTGCAACCTTCCTTGCTCCCAAACCTCGTGTCGTTTCCTACAGACAACGAATCTACGGCTTCCCCAATCACTGAAACACATGCCATGTGCATCTTAAAACTTGCTGTGGACCTCGTTTGGGTCTTCAGCACTGGCATCCTCCTCCTCCTCCTCTTCTTGAGATGCCTGGCAGGCATGGAACTTCTCGGCAGGTGGAACTCCAACAGCTGCAAAACAGCGCGGGCACGGCGAAGGGTGACTCATTCATGTTGCGGGGCCGGGAGGAGCTGAAGGAAACCATGAAACCAAAGAATCCAAGAACCCGAAAAATCCAACTGAGAAACCCGGGAAACCAGGAAGCTGAGGACACCGAGGCAAAAAAAACAATCAGGAAACCATTTTCTCAAACACGCACGTCGAGCTCCCCCCCCCCAGTCACAAGCTCGGTACAAGATCATCGCGAGTGGCAGTGTCACTGCGTCCTTTTCGCATTTGTCGATTTGTTTTTCCCGCTGCTCCTTCGATGCCCCACGCGTTCTCGTCGCAACTACTATTAGGTTGCAGCCCGCAAAAACCACAGCGTGCCTATGTCCCTTTCACTCAGTTCCTCTTCTGGTGTGCTCTCAACTCCAGACTATTCCACCGTGGTCAATTCTTCATGTTCCTCTTCTTCTCCATTCTTCCCCATTTCCTTTGATTTGCTCGGGGTGTGGGATCGAAGTCCTGGCCACCATCCACAGTCCTTTCTTTCTTTTTGTTCTTTCTTCTTTCATTTCTTTCTTCTGCCTTTCGTGCGGCTTGAGGCCGAAGCCCCCGGCGCGGTCCGCACCTCTAGGTCTCTCTGGCTCGCTCTCGCTCTCCCTCTCTCCCTCTCCCTCTCCCCCTCTCTCCCTCTCTCTCTCTCTCTCTCTCTCTCTCTCTCTCCGAGAATAGCCCCCGACAGATTACCTGGCGGTGTTTGGCTGCAAGTTCGGCCGATGTGCTTAAATCTTAGATGCAATGCCAGACGAGTCGGCAACCCTGCGAACGGTACACTTCTGCCATGCGGACGGGACTTTCGGGAACTGGATGCCACACTGAGCGCGAGGCACGGCGACGAACGGTGTTCGAGTTTCCGGTGGTCTTGCAAAGCCTTCATTTGTTTCGTTGCATCGCCTCGCCACCCCCTTCAAGCCACCCACATGCTAGTGTCAATCTTCTGTGCTCCGCAGAACCCCGCAGAACTTCACCGCTGGGTTAGCCTCCTGGGACTCCTTGGACTCCTCCTCCTCCTCGGAATCGACATCTGGTGACCTTGCAGTTGCACTGCCCCGTACACGCATACAGCTAAAGCCTCTACAGCTTCTCAGTTGCTCGTGCTATCTCGTTTCATACATCTCGTCTTATCTCTCTAGTCCTCAGAGTGCGGCGCAGCTTTCCGCTTCCGCCGTCGGCCTTTGTGGGCATCACGGCGTCGTCGACCTGCAGGACAAATAGCAACGAATCGCAATGAAACACATCACGCGGCTAAGTACAGAATCCTACAAGGCTGTCCACTGCGAAATTCAGCGATTACGGCCGATACGTGACAACTTGCCCCAAACCCTGAACCCTAAACCCTAAACCCTAAACCCTAAACCCTCAACCCCAAACCCCAAACCCCAAACCCTAAACCCTAAACCCTACACAGCCTCGGCGTTCACGGCTGCGCCGCCGACCCCGACGACGACGGTGGCCTTTGTGGTGCCGCCGGCGCCCATGGCCTGCCAGGGCTGACTGAATTGAGGGGTATAAGTCATCATTAAACCCTAAACCCTAAACCCTAAACCCTAAACTCTAAACCCTAAACCCTAATTCCCCTGTATAACCCCTATATATATATATATATATATAGGGTATAAGGAGGGAGCCCTTGAAGGGACCTTTGATCTTATTCCCCCATACAACCCTATCTATACCCTATGTAGTCCCTTCGTTGACTGAAACTATTGGCATCTTCTGCTGGAAGCAGCGAAGGTTGCACACTTCTTTTGTTCACACGCCAGCCCCACATCCTGCAACTCGCCAGTCAAGAACTTCACAACTCCAGAAGATGGCAGAAGTGACCGAGTTCTCAATGTTCCCGGGCCCGGCCCACAACTCACAACTCACTTAGGGTTTAGGGTTTAGGGTTTAGGGTTTAGGGTTTAGGGTTTAGGGTTCAGGGTTCAGGGTTTAGGGTTTAGGGTTTAGGGTTTAGGGCTTCGGGCTTCGGGTTCAGGGTTTAGGGTTTAGGGTTTCGGGTTGCAACTCCAGAGCGCCTCGGCTTCGGCCACGTCTCCGCCGCTCACCCCGCCGCCTCCCTCGGCGATCGCCGCGGCTCCCTGAGACAACTTTTGGACATTCGAGACTACGTTTAGGGCAGTTACATGGTCTTTTAGCATGGGCTGTGAAAAGGGTTATATACCCCTTATATATACCCTGTACACATTAAGGGCCCATACATCAGAACCCCCTATAAAGGAGGTCACGGACCATATTAAGGGCCCATGAAACTGCCCTTCGGGCTATGCCGCGCTATGCCGATGACATGCTGGCTCTGTATGGTTGTGCGTGATTTGCGTGGGTTAGGATGGTTAGGTGAGCTGACGATGGCTAACATTTTGCCTAGCAACTACCACGATTCCGCGATCAACAACAGCAGTGACAGCGCAACGCCACAAAACGCGCCACGTTCACATTACTTGAGGCACTGCTGCTTGCTGTGCTTTCGGTCGGCGGCCTATGCAGTCCCCATTGGTGCGTGCATCCCTCGCATGCGACCTCCAGGGTGGCCAAGAAACGGCCCAAGCAAAAAACACGTGGATGAGCAAACCACCTCCATGGCATGGAGGTTTGGTGGCGTGACGCTTGTGGCATGGAAGCCTGAACACCCCACGAAGTCAGGCGCCTGGTCTTTTTGGTCTTGACCTCTGCTTCGCGGCTGTGTTCGTCGGACCTCGGAAGCCGAAATCACACACGCTTCATATGGGGGGTTTCCGAAATAGGGGTGGTACACTTTTTGGGGTGCTCCTTTGAAGGGGATTCTATTCTATTTGGGGTATGAAAGGGGTACCCCTATTTTGGGAAATGCCCATCTGGCTCTGTGGCTGCAGCACAAGAACTGGCAGATCACCGCACAATCAGAAACTTGCAACACACAGCAAAGAAAGAAGAAAACTACATGCAGGGGAGTTTGCTTTGGCTTCTTTGCCACGCTGGCGAGGCAGAACAACTCTCCACACCACACATCTATATTGTAAAGATACCCAGTAAGACAGATACCAAAGAATAAAGAAAGGAAATCCCTAACTTTTGCGTCTCGACGCAGACTCCGTACGGGACGACACGCGCAAGGTTTCCTTAGCCGCAGCCCCCTGACCCCACCGGACTAAAGCTTGACAAGAATGGGACGCATTCACGTGGCTCGAACACCCAGAACCCTAAACGAGCGGATTCGCATCCATTGCTGGCGTGTTTGTGGCGCGGGTTGGTGCTTCTTCTTGGGCGTCATCCAATTTTTACATTTCTCACCTCCAATTTGTTAGGAACAGCCAACAGAGATGCTGACACATGAAAGGGGCCTGCCAGCAAAACAAAAATAAGTTTCCGCCCACCGAGCCATGTGAAAAACAGACCATGAGACCAACAAGTTTCGCTCCCCAATGCGGGTGAACCTGGGCTAGTGGCCCTGGGGTTCGTTTAATGCTCTAATGGTCGGGGGTCTGGTACGGAGGGGACCTATACTGGTTTACTGGACCGATGGTCTACTGATGGTCTACTAATGGTCCAATGGTCCCGCGGGTCTGGCACGGGAGGAAAACCTATTCGTCGAATGGTCTAGTGGTACGCCGGGCGGCACGCAGAGAAAGAAATCTGTTGGCCAGAAGGTCTAATGTTCTATTCGTGTTCGAGCAGTTTCGAAACAGTCCAAGCATCAAAACTGCAGGGTGGAGATAGACATGTAAGCAAAAAGGTATACACATGTATGTACAAATGTACATGTTCTGGGGGTTGGTGCGAGTGGGATCGTGAAAGACGGTGGTGGTGGTGGTTTCATTACCCAAAACGTGCCCTATCCTGACTGATGAAGGGTATTGGGAGCTGCTGGGCTCTGATGCGGCTACCGCCTTCTTCGGGCGACAGTGCAAGCACCAACGAGAAGGACTGAACCCACGAGCCTGAAGCCCGAGCACACGTGACAATGGCAACAAGTATCAAGTAGCAAACCCTTAACATGGCAATTTGCTTCGTGAAACGGTTAGCTAGATTTAGTTCCCCCCGCCAGTGCCATCATGCGCCACCGATTTAAAAGGCCAAGGGCAGGGCGAAGTTCCTTGAATCTGCTGACAACACAAAGGGTTCCTTAGGTTGCTTTTTCTCCTTCTTTTTGCTGGACGCCGTCCTGAAAAATAAGCCCTTCGACTAACCCCCATCCAAAACACAACAGAAGCAGAACCAACAGAAGAGAACACAAGACAAAAATGACAAAATGACAAACAACAAAAACAGACCCTTCGATTCTCCGATGGGCGATGGGGGCATGTCTGGGCCCCAGGCCGCGAACGAGATCTCGAGTGAGAAGCGGCGGACATGCAGAATCGTTGACGTATTGCCCCAGAAGCTACCGCAGCACTTCTGCAACGTATGTTAGGAACAGAATGGAACATATAAGGCTAGGGATCTGGGGATGGATAACGATCCTTGTTGGGATGTGCTGAGGTTGAATAGGCGTGCACAAGCTTCTAGCATTGTGGCGCAGTTCGGCACAAGCCCCTCTGTCAAGCTCCTTCATGTAGCCTACGGGCCCCATTCAACTCCCGGGGCCCACCGCCTGAGCCCAGGACTGCAGTCGGTTTAGGGTTGAGGGTTTCGGGTTTGAGGGGTTAGGGGTTTAGGGGTTTAGGGTTAGGGTCAATGTCAACCTACCCGAAGTCCGGCTCGGCTACATGTGATCATCACTTCGCCCATGTCTCCTCGCAACTTGAGCCGCTATTCCCCTACACCAGCATTCAAGGGCCTTTAGAACTTTCTGAGGCTCTTGGGACTTCTTCAAATGCGCTTCGGGGAGGTCAAGAGGACGCACCAACCTCCATCGAAAAGACTTCCTTGCGATCGTGAGACCGCCCTAGCATCCAATCCAGCCCTAGCGGTTTGGCGAGAGAGATGATTGCCTATTCTTTGCTGTGGGGGCAACCCCACCCACGCATAGAATCAAAAGCGAACTCTCCGGCTAATCGTCCCCGAACGAACGCCCCCGCAGCCACCTCAATAACATCTCTTTCCGTCGTCTCTAGCGGAGAGAAGAACTGAACAGCTGTGGAACCGCCCATCAAACTTGTCTCAGGAGCGTTTGCTCAGTTTCTTTGATGCCGAGCGAGTTCTCTTAAAGCAATGACATGTTCCTCAGGTCCTGAAGACTCTGCTCCGTTCAATCCCTGCCATGGGTCCATTCTGTAGTTGCCCTTTCCCCCGGACCCAGAACCCCAAAGTCCAATAACAAATCAAGCACCGAGCCACTCTGATAATACGAAGCTGAAGAATGTCCTTGCGTTAGACGCATCAGCCTGCTTCTATTAACAACCCAACCTTAATGTGAGCATCTATGGGTTTAGGGCGCCACTCGCAACTTCACAATCTCTCAGTGCTTATTGAAGGCCTGTTGAAGAGAAACGAGATGCCAACTAGAAACTATGGCGACGTGTGTCATGATCGAGGTTTTGGTGCCACTGTAAACGTATCCGAGAAAAAGAGAAAGATTTGCTGGACATTTTGCAAAAATTTTGCCTGGACATGTTGTAGCTTTACGAAACTCGCTCCCAGGCCGACTGTGACCATATATTGCTCAGTCACGGTCAGATATTTGCGAGGAAAAAAACAAAAATCAAAATCACACTGGACGGTCTCAAACAAGCTGTTGTCCATTGTATTGTGCAATAGACGAGCATTTCGTAAGAGATATGAACTTGTGACTGGTGCTGTGGGCGTGCAAATGTGAACAAGACGAGAGGAATGAGCGAGAAATCCTGAAAAGAAACGAATGCAACTTGGTTCCGTGTTGCACCTACATCGGTGCTACATCTCCGTCATCTCCTGTTGATACCTATTGTCCTCCTAAGCACCTTTTGCAGTATCTTCCCTGCTTTCGTTCCGGGCTATCCACATGAAAAACAAGCCAAACGAGGCAAGCTGAGGAGATGCGAGGACAGCCCCAGACAGCACTCAACAGAGTCCACACCCTCTTTGATAGCGTTGCGTAGTTTCGTTTACTATACTTGCTGGACCCACCTGATCTGTCACAGGGTGCGCAGAACTCCGCCTGTCACCCCGCTAGAATCCGCTAGAAGTGACTTTTCGGAAAGAAAGAATGGTTCTTGCAAAAGCTGCTACTCCTGAAAAGTGCATTTCCCCGTCACGTCAAAGACGCGCGGAAAAGCCGCTTTCCGCCACAAGCGGCTCATCGAGTCCTCTGCGTGCACCCTCGCCACGAGAGAAAAGCAACCCTAAACCCTGAACCCTAAACCTAAGCCCTAACCCTAAACCCTAAACCACTTTTCGTGCATAGTGTTTTGTTCCGAAAATACTTCTGGAACATCAAAGACAATCTAGACGCCAGTAGTTACAGTCACCCACGGCCAAGGAGACAGATTGCAGCCCCTGGCTACAAGCCTGCCAGGATCTTGCCGCAACACGCTCTGCACTTTTGTTGCTGCGCACGTGGTCAGGAAGCTGTGAAGTTATCAACCCGCCAGCGCTGTTCTGCCAGCAGCAGCTAGCTGGATGCTCGGCTTTGTGCCATTGAACCCTAGGACACAGCGTCTGATGGGGGAGCCACCCCCTCTTTGCTGGTCATGTGGTGTGAGACAACGTCGGTTAAAGGCCCAAAGTCGGCTAGAGACTCGAATTGGGAGAGCCAGCACGCAACGATCTGCACCGCCCCAGGCGTCTACCTGATCATAATCCCCAATCATAGGGTTTTAGGGTTTAGGGTTTAGGGTTTAGGGTTCAGGGTTTAGGGTTTAGGGCTTACAACGTGCACCACGCTCAAAGGGGGAAGCTGTGACAGATGAGACTTTCCATATCCCCACCTCATCAACTGCATCAGGCTCATATTCTTGTCGGAATCTTTCCTTACAGTAGCTCAATAACTTGCCGGCCACGCAGGAAGGAACACACCCACACACACTGATTACTCCAAGCGTCTTCATGACCTTCGACACGGCCATCTCAAAATCTTCTTGTGTGACGTGCTGCCGCCGCTCACGCAGGGCAAACATCCCAGCCTTGAACACGGGCACTGCAAGTTTTTCTTCTTGGGGTTCTCATGACAAGGGAACCCTACTATTTGCGGGTTTATATTAAGGGCCCCTTATGGTGCTGAATCGCTGGTTTGAAAACTCGACACGGTCTTCCGAAGCCTCGCTCAAATGCTCGACTTCGGGTGAGCTCTTGCAGCTCCAGCGGTTTGTGTCAGCATGAGTCGTGCGATGGCTTCGTGTGAATGGTCCCCCCCCGTGATAAAGCCCTAAACCCGAAACCTAAACCCTAAACCCTTTTTGGCATCAGGACACCCTAAACCCTAAACCCTAAACCCTAAACCCAAAGGTCTCGGCCTCTGTGCAGACCGCCTTGCTCTCAGCACCGCTGGCTCCATTCATGCCGGTTGCTATCTTCTTCAGGTCAATGCCACGCCTCAGGGGGAAATGCAGCTTTCAACACCTCTTCACAGCAGGTGCCACTTCTTGACCTGTGGCCGCGAATGACCAACTGCTGAACAATGCTTATTTCGAGGTGCATGAGGTTCATCTTCCTGGAATGAATCTTGAGAATTTCTTGGCCTTAGCACCGCCAAATTTTCTGAAACTATGCTCAACTTGCGAACAAGACTTTCTGGGACACACACGAGCTTCTTCGTTGGGGTTCGGGAATTCCACCTGTCAGGGGCAGTTGCACTGCTTCTAGTTGCAAGATAGCCATCTGACAGCATCTGCCTGTCGCCGGCAAAGACGATCTACATGCAACCCTCGACACCCTTTGTTGTCGCACTGCCTTGCGGTCAATGCGACCGGGCCGGAGAAGAGCATCATCGAGGATGTCGATTCGATTGGTAGCCTTCGTGGGTCAAGCCCTTCGTTTCAGTCAGCTGATGAGGCCCTGGACAACCGACAGCCTTTAATTTGTGTCACACTGTAGATAAAGCAAAGCTCCACCCCCAAAGTGCTCCAACTGTGCGGAACACATGTAAGCCGGTGGATGATACACATCAGCACGTGTACAACTCGATAGTGCTCGAGCAGCCATGATGACCTTGATGTTGGTGGTTGCCTCCAGCAAACTGACAGGGTTGTACGAGTAACTTCATGCTTTTCTCAGGTGTTTCATGCACGTTAGAGACAGAAGCTCTTGCCAAGCACCCTCCGCGGCCTCGAAGCCGTCAAGTTGGTTCAAGAGCTCAAGCATCGTGCGCTGCACTTCCGAGTCACCCCCGGACTCGCCCTCCACACGCGATGATCCGATGGAGTCGACCTGGCTCAGGCTGCCAGTTTATCGGACCCCCTTCACCTAGTTTTGCAACGACCTTTCCTCGTCCATAAAGATGATTGTCGGCGCATGCTCGCGTGCCATAACGAAGAGCTCGCGCACCATGCGGCTGCCTTTGGGGCGGTTCAAACTTTCCGGCACGCTCCGCAACAACAGCCCTTGCCTTCACCGATGTACTTCTGCACAAGCTCACCGCCCGAGACGCGGATGAAGCCTTTGCATCACGTAAACTCTGCCCATGCACCCATGGGCATACGCACAAACGCACGCCCGAGCGCGCACGACGTCCATAGACAACCACCCGTCTCACTCGAACAGGAATCTCGTGGGGCCCCTAAACCCTAAACCCTAAACCCTAAACCCTAAACCCTAAACCCTAAACCCTCTTTCGCTTCGAAGCATCTTGGGCTCTGTTCTGCGAGCGCAAGGCCAGGGGCCCGGGAGGACCGGAGGAAAACAACACCACTGGTCACTGGGTGACGGGATGGTGCAGAGACGGCTCTGCTCGTACACCCCGGGAAAGGCGGGCCTTTCTTGTTCAAGCAGGGCCCAACCCCAGCGAAGGCCGTTGGACCACAGAGCTGTCGAAATTGACCCTGTGACATGACTAAATCATGCGCGCCGGGTCGCATTTCCCGAAGAAAAAGGTTTACGGCTATTGTGCTTTCATGCAGATCTATGCAGCCAGCCCGTGTCCCACGCTCCCGGAGCTAGCGAGTGGAAATTGGTCGCTCCAGAACGATACCGGTCCCCGACTACGCTTTGTAAAGGACGATACATCCGATTGTACTTTGAGGAGATTCCCTACACCGGTTCCCGGAATCCCCCCAGCTGCCAAGCTTTCTCAAAGACACAGAGACAGTCTGGGAATCGGCGACACAAAGAGCGAGCCACACCGCAACCTCAAAATTCTCATATGGGCTGAGCTTTCGCGCTTTCGCCGCAGCTCAGGCATCGGGTATTGCCAAGATGCCGAACACAAGTTTGGGCGGGGTGGCCACATGGCCAAGAGCTGCAAATTGCGATAGCCATGCGAGCGATGAGGGACGGGGGGTGGCGTTGATGAGCTTGATGTAAACAACAATTGGATAATTGTGTCTGCGAGTTTTTTTCCAAGGTATGGTGCCTTCTAATTAGATTTCTCGTCGACAATCCACCCAGACACACTGTGAAATTTATGCTCGAAAACCTCAAGCGCAATTGCTGCTGCACTCGACCATGCGCACCTGAGGACATGCGTGCCCGTGAGATGTGACTCGGCGCATGGCAGCAGTTTGTGTGGTGGGCCACCGCCCGCGCAAGCAGCGTCTTGCCCGTGCCAGGTGGGCCATACAGCAGCACTCCCTGACACATCAACAAACACATTACCACGGTGAGTCTGTGGCGTGGTGGGATGTGCTACCAACAGGCCAACAGGCATGTTAAGCATCATCTTTGTGCCTTTGGCTGCGAAATGCCCAGCGACTCAAAGATTTCTGGATGCTTAATCGGGAGTTCGATGACCTCCTTGATCTCCTCAAGGAGTGGTGGCAGCAGCTGTATGAGAATAGTCGGAATCGTTGCTGTTGTCGTCGTGTTGTAGTGGACGTCGTAACACTAGCCGTCGTCGTCGTCGCAGTAGAAGTCGTGGTCGTAGTGAAGGAGAAGGAGTAGTAGTACTAGTAGTAGTAGTAGTAGTAGTAGTAGTAGTAGTAGTAGTAGTAGTAGTAGTAGTAGTAGTAGTAGTAGTAGTAGTAGTAGTAGTAGTAGTAGTAGTAGTAGTAGTAGTAGTAGTAGTAGTAGTAGTAGTAGTAGTAGTAGTAGTAGTAGTAGTAGTAGTAGTAGTAGTAGTAGTAGTAGTAGTAGTAGTAGTAGTAGTAGTAGTAGTAGTAGTAGTAGTAGTAGTAGTAGTAGTAGTAGTAGTAGTAGTAGTAGTAGTAGTAGTAGTAGTAGTAGTAGTAGTAGTAGTAGTAGTAGTAGTAGTAGTAGTAGTAGTAGTAGTAGTAGTAGTAGTAGTAGTAGTAGTAGTAGTAGTAGTAGTAGTAGTAGTAGTAGTAGTGGTAGTAGTAGTAGTAGCAGCAGTAGCAGTAGCAGTAGCAGCAGTAGCAGTAGCTGTAGCTGTAGCTGTAGCTCTGCTAATCAGAAAGTGGGTGTAGCACCGTCATTGCAGTGATGATGGCGGTGGTGTGTGGGGGAGGATGGGGGGTTATGTGGCGTAGCAGTCTAGAGCAGTGCGTGTCATGCGCATGGTCCTTGCAGTTCTGCTAGTGCAGACCAAGCGGGCTGCAGCGTTGCTGTGCAACAGCTGCACTACAGGCGACTCACATCCCGTCCTTGATCTGCTTGTCCACTCCCCCGATCATTTCGTACGTGCTGTCCGGCGTCTTCTCTACTTTCATGAGCTGCACCAGAGGGTCCACCTGCATGCAGGCTCAACCCAGCTTGTCACTTGCATCTGTGTGCGTGTGTCTGCGCCTTGCTGGGCAGGATCTTGTGCAAGACGTAGCTGTCGCTTGTGAGGGCAATCCGGGTATTTGCTTTGCAATCCTGCGAAGGTTTGCAAAGCCTGGGCTGATGGACATTCAAGTTCAACTGCCTGTTACTCGCGTCCAGCGCTCATCATTGGGCAAGCACTGCTGCGGTCCTCGATTTTTATATCCTTGTCAATGTCCACTACATACTTCCCTTCCTCAGGCATACATGAAGCCAAAAACGGGAAGCGGACAGGCTCCTACAAACCTCTCGCTGGCTCTTCACTCTCACACTCACCCGGTTTTGAGCTGCTCTGGGTTGCTTTGCCTTGCCGTGCCTTGGGACCCGGGTTCTTCGGAGGGAAGGGGGGGGGGGGTGCACCAAAGTGCGCTCCTGTCCGGAGTCCAGTTGGTGCGATGCTGAGCCTCATGATTTCAGGCATATTCTACCATCACCAATTGTTTGAGGAAGGAGAGCAGAAAGCAGAAGATGTAGATAGCTCACTCACTCACTCACCCACCCACTCACTCACTCACTGTATCTCTCCATCTCTTTATCTATATATCTCTCAATCTCTCTATCTCTCTATCTCCCTATCTCTCTATCTCTCTATCTCTCGCGCTCTCGCTCTCTCGAGCTCTCGCGCTCTCGCGCTCTCACTCTCTCGCTCTCTCACTCTCTCACCCTCTCACCCTCTCACTCTCACACCCTCTCACCCTCTCACTCTCGCACTCTCTATCTTCTTTGCAGGGGCCTGCGGGGGTCACTTGCGCCGCGCGAAGTACTTTCCCTTCTTCTTCTACTCAGCGAAGAGGCCCCCAAGAGGGGATCCCGGCCTGGGTCTGTCCCTTGTGAAAAGTGGACCCCCTGTGTTAGAGAGGTACCTGCCTCCCTCTCTCTCTATATCTCTCTCTCTCTCTCGCTCACTCGCTGCTCGCTCGATCCCTCCCTCTACTACATACCACCTCTCCAAAGCATCCACTTCTCCACTGTGCACAAGGACAGCTGAGAGAACACTCGGTTGCTCCGATTTCTTCAAACCCCGTCCTGCCCGACCTTCACCAGGACCTTCTTCGTGCCTTGTGCTTTTGCCATGGATAGAAGGTGACGAAAGAGGCAAGCTGAGTTTTTTTCACATATGTCTTCCACATATATAAATAAATATAAATATAAATATATATATATATATATATATATATATATATATTTGTTTTCACCATGTCACCCATCGCTTTGATGACTTCACCGCAGTTGGAGGCTGGCTCTAGCAGCAGCTGCAGCTCCTCACCTCGGAGCTTCTGAGGAACAGGTAGGGGATAGGAGTAGGGAACCCTTGGGGATATAGACCCTCTGAATATGGTCCCTGCTTAAGTGGGCCAGAAGAGAGTTTAGAAGGGTTCCCTTTCTAGGGGTCCCCCTTATCCTACCTAGGAACAGGTTTGCCCAAGTGTGTGGAGGTACTCCGACGAGTGCTAAGCCGACCACGCAGCTGCCGGACCTTGCTGTTCAGCTCGTTCCGCTGCGCTTCTAAGCGGCGCAAGTTGTTCTTGCCTGAACACGGGGCCAGCTCTTCAGATTGATAAAAACCACAGCCATTTCGAGATTGCAGGTGTGGGGCTGTGTATTCATCTTCCCTTGAAGCTTTCTCAGCTGCCCGCTACCCCTACTCATCTAAACGATTTGCTCCTGCAGTCACCAGGGCCCTGAGCATGGTGGTCTAACGGACTGACCGACCTAGGCACCCCCAACAAAACAAACAATTCCTTGGATCATTGTGCCAAGTTGCGATCCTTGATGATGGAGCTCAGTTCTTGGATTTTCGTGTCCTGTGCTGTGCTGCGTGCTTCGGGATGGCGCGCATCTGGCAGCAACAGCCCATCCTATCTACGCTCGCCAAGGCACATAGTAACTCTGAATTCCGACTTTGCTGGATGTCATTACCATCGCGGCCGCCATCGCTTGGCCGCAACCGAGGCTGGGCAACTACAGGGAAAGCCTGAAAGGACTGCAAGGAAGAACAAAACTGGCGGTCATCAAGAATGAAGAAGCAACTATATCAAGTGACTGCTGGCGTTAGGCTTCAAAAGTCACCTAGGGACTGTTCTTGTCATACATGTGGGTTTACGAATGTAGGGTACCTTGTTGGATACCTTGTTGCAATTATAAGGGTATCCTACTCTATATGGGGGTCTATATCAGGGTCAACCATTATCGTAAACCCCCACATGGGACTCGACCTCGACGAGATGGGCGAAACAGCCTGAAACCTGCAGCCCTAAACCTAAACCTGACGGCATAGTTTCACAGCTGCCCGAATTTAATAGACAGGTGCTGGACCATCTTCGACATTCGCAACAAAACCGTTCCCAAGGAGTACGCTCATGCGTCTAGGCCGCTGGCCAACACAATGGTGAGGGGAAGAATATGGAGTCTGTCTCTCTAATAGGCGTTTGTGCGAGCAAAAGACCATCAAACAAAACGCGAAGAAAGCCGCATGCTGCTCCGAATGCAAGCTGTAACGAGGAATAGCTGTTAAGAAACCTAGCTAGCTGCAATTAGATGTGCGAAAATACCCAACTTGTCACAGCATCGCATTGTCAAACGCTCGTTCGCCTAGCGCTGCGCAGTTGGACGTCATGAGCACGTGTGCAGCATCCGATGTGAAACAAAACAACAACCCAGAGAGCCCAATATCCCTTAATTAAGGAATAGAGCTTAAATTATAAAGGGATCCTGATTATATGATTTCAGGAATATTCCTTAATTAAGGGGTATCGGGCTCTTTGGGAACAGCTCGGGCAAATCTTCTTTTCGCGCGAGCCCGTCAATGTGGCAGGCGGCGGGCTCCTTCAAGTATTGACTTTCGAGGCGAGTCACTCACTGGATTTGGCAATCTGAGATGCCTGACTTGTGGACGGACGTTGGACGTCGCGCCGGTCCTACACAAGGTCTGAGCATGCGAGAGATTGTGGGAACCCTGCAGCCCAGCACGGCAGCGGCAAATTCTGGGCGCCAAGCGCCGAAGAGAAGTGTGAGATTCACTCTCGGCTGATCCTTATTCGAGATCTGCCACGAAACAAACGTCTTTCAGCGTAAGCACAAACATGCTCCCTTCACACAGCCAAGCTCATCACATCTGGGAAGTCGAAGGGCTCCGAGGCATGATACCGGTCGGAGACCTAAACTTTACTAAACTGCCAATCCCATTCGATAGGATGCGATGATCTGACCGACGTGACCTGATTTTTTTTTACCAACCCCGGGCCGATCGCAAATATCGCGGCACGGTTGTGCTTGTAGGCAATGTAGTCCACGCCGTCCTTTCTCATGGCCTCATACTGTTTCATCCGGCCACTCGATTCATCGGGCGAGGCTGAACAATCAAATGAGAAGGACGACGCAACACAGTCAGGCGCATGCAGCGCGAATGGCTTCTTCTTCACCTGCGACAGCCACTGTTGCTGGTTGGCATACCCAAATCGCTGCAGTGGTCTGGTGTAGAAATTGAATAGCACAGGGCTCTCCAGCTAGAAGGGTCTCGCACAAAGTTTGTGGGATTTTGCTACGGAAGCAGGCAAGCCCAGACGTTCTTACTGTGCAAACCAAAACAGGACAAGGTAAGACCCCCCCACTTCTAAAAAGGGCCACAGCGCGAATGCACTCTCTGCGGCACATCGCACAAGAAGGTCGGGAAGCCAAGCACCAGGCGTGTCAACTCGAAGCAAACGGATGTCTGGGTTAATCGTTTTTTCAAAGTTTCCGTGCCAGGATTTGGAAAACTTCAATTTCGCTTGCAGAAAAACTCATTGCATCCACGTAAAGATGTCACCGATAAAACGTTCACAAAAAACACTTCCGTTCGCCTGCAGAAAGAAATCCTGTAAATGTTGTGCCTTTGATCGAATGTGCACACACACACAGATGAGACAAAAGCCCTCAGGCCTGACACTTATTCAATTTCGCGGTTCCTTACCTGGATGATGTATTCGCAAACCAAGAAAAGCGGGGACAAAAACAAATGTCGCATTTTCTGTGCCGGACATGCGCAGAAATCTGGAGCTTTTCCATTCGACACAGTCAACGCTTTTCAAATCAATTCAGGCACTTCTTCTGCAAGGTGTCCATTTTCATAACTTCAATCTCGTCTCAACTGCCCACGAGCTAAAGTGCGGCGTTCCATGGTTTTCCGTGTTGCCCGCCTCTCGTGATCGCGTGAAGCCTACAAATGACACTTGGACTCGAGATGAAAGGAGGTGAACTACGCCACAACAAAGATGCTTCGCAGTTCATCGCGGCGGTGATGTCCCAGATGTGGCCGCCGATCTCCGGATGCCTTGTTCCCGCCTCTGCGGAACGAGTACAGCATGAGCTTGTGAAGTCGTGCGATGCGCGCTCCAGGCAACTTGGCGAAGCTCATGCCCAGGGCTAACAATCTGTTCATTGAACATGGGCTCAGCAGGCATGTGCGGACACTGACCACGCATTCAAAGTCAACTTGGTAGATGGCCTCCCGGATTCAAGCCCCAAGCCACTCCCGCTGCAGGAAAAACCGCCCCCTACCTCCCCGCCACACCCCAACTTCGACGCAACACATGAAACTAGGGCGACCCATGCTGCTTATGACGAACTGAAACAGATGCTTCGACACACGAATTTCACTGTGGTTCGGATGACGAGGCTGACTCGACTCTCCCATCCTCAATTTCGACCCATTATGGAACTTGCGATGAGAAGCTTCACAGTTAGCATGACTAGGCTTGCCTGCCTGCATCGCCACGTACCTTGGCATAGACGAATGTTTGAACACGAGCGCAAAAAATAATTCCTGCACATTGCACATGCTGATCTGAGTCAGTCGATCTTTTTTGGAAACTTGCTTGTTGCTAGTGACTGCTATAGTGAGGCGCAAATCTGCATAGGACTCGTACGAAGGAATCAGGATGGAATGGTTGCACAATCACACGAGTGCGGGCAGGCACACCAACATTCACGCACCCACCTACCAACTCAGGCACCCATCCAGCCACGCTCGCCCGCCCATACTCACTCTGGCACACGCTAATGCACGCAGAGGTGCGCACAGGCCCGCAGAGACGCACACAAAAGTGCACGCACGCACGAAGACGCGCGTGCGCACACACACCTTCCTTCCTTCCTTCCTTCCTTCCTTCCTTCCTTCCTTCCTTCCTTCCTTCCTTCCTTCCTTCCTTCCTTCCTTCCTTCCTTCCTTCCTTCCTTCCACACAGCCACAACCTGGGCAAGGCACCAAGTTGAAGTCTGCAGTCCAGGTCCCTTTCGGTGGAACATGCCTCGCGTCTCAGACTTGGAGCTCAAATCCTGCAGCTCTCGGCAGCTCTCGGAATCTGTGAGCTCAAGGCTTGTAGATCTCCAGGCCGCCGCCTTCGCTAAACACGAGCCCCACGTGGCATTGTCTCTCAGCAAACCCGGATCCCATGGGCTTCCCATGGGGGGGGGGGCCACCTCTTCTGCACGCACTTGTGGGCGTAAGCCAGATGTTGACATTTACGGCCGCCTCCTTATGTTCACAAAGAACCACATGAGTCGCAGAGCACGACATGGGCGCAGTCCCCCACGTCAGCATGGACTCCAACACCAGAGGACCTTGAAACGTGCTCAACTTGGCTCAAATGGCTCAGTTGTGCTGCAAAGGTTTAGGGTTTAGGGCTTAGGGTTTAGGGTTCAAGAATCACAAGACACAAGGCTGCAGAGGCTGAAGCCCAGAGTTCATGTACTTGAAAAGCCACCACCTGTCACAGTGCGAGCGCGCGCGCATATGCCACATCGAGCTACCGATTCAACGCGGCATGCAACCCATGCTTTTGGGGAGGTCTTTATCACCCTTGTCCCGGAACTGCCATTCCCTAGAATGGTCTGAATAGGTCACAATCATGTCTCCGAATGTCTTCAACACCTGCTCGCCCGGTGAAGCAACAATCTCGGGAAGCACCCCAGACCATGTTCATGACCACTACAGGGCGTGGTACGATCGGGAGGCACATTCTGCTCTGGATATGGAGGCCGAGTACAGGATCTCACGAAGATCACCCAAGAAAGCGGCAATGAAATTGAAATCTGGAATTCCGGCACACGATCCGGGTTTCGTGTATTTCGTTTTTGCGACGAGGTCAAGCAACGAGGGAAGCAAAACGTGATATGGACAAAACGCAACGCCGACCTTGCCAGCGGTCGGCGGCTCAAGACGGCAGGCCTCGACGTGAAAGCAATTTCCGCGGACACTCCACAAAAACACCCTAAACCCTAAACCCTAGACCCTAGACCCTAGACCCTAAACCCTTTTGAAACCGGACTTGATGACTGCCAGCACTAAACCCTAAACCCGAAACACCACGAAGCCCCAAGATGCCATGCCCAAGCTGCTCACATTCGCTCCTGCAGCTTCTCGGCAGCACAGCGCAATAAGGGATGAACCTCGCAAACAAAAAAACAACTGGGAGCTGCTTTCTTAGGGTTTAGGGTTTAATGTTCAGGGTTTAGGGTTTTTTCCCACCCGTGTCGCAAGTTTAGGGTTTAGCGTTTAGGGGTCTTTTCTACCTGTTCGGTAACAAGAGAGGCAACAGGAGGACAGGCGCTTGGGGTCCCTTGGGACCGAGTTTACGGGATCGTGGGCTTTGCTGTCAAAGGTCACATTGACTCAGCAGCAGGCTGTCTTGAACCTAATGCGCCTGTGCGACACTCTGAGGGAGACACTCCATTTCCAAGCCACGAAGAACCCCCACCCCAGAATCCAGCAAAACGAGATCAAAAAAGCGCGCATATGTGACCATCCAAACATGTCACTATCCAGCTGCATGTCCCTTCCGAAGATAAGTCTTGCTGTGGTCTTGGCAAAGAGGTGTCACAATAGAGACAAGATACAACAAGGCGTATGCTGAAGGAACAGGATCCAAGGCTGGGAGGTGAACATGTGATTGCTG